TCACCAGAGCCTGAGCCCAGAGCAGCTGAAAGGGCAGGCAACTCTTCGTTTTTCACCACCACATCTCTCCGGTTCCCAGCACGTTCTTGGACAAGCAGCTCTTGTATCAGATCCGCGGTCTCCCGTCCCGTAAGTCACAAGCAGGGTGTTTCCCCACAGCCGCCGCAGAGAAGAGCCTTCCCGCAAGCACCAGTGAAGCGGGACATGAAGTCACCCTACCGTTTCATCACAAGGAGATGGACGGCTTCTTGTGCAGACGAGGGAAGGAGTCGGTTCCTCTGCTCCACAAACGCTTCTGCTGTATGCTGCGGTTTGGAGGATTTGTCATGGGCATAAACTGCAGGGAACCCAGTGCTTGCATGCTGAGACTCAGCTCCAACTTCCCACCTCTCCAGACTCCCCCAATGACTTCCATCACCCTGGGGGAAAGATCCCACGGATAACCCACCACTGGGCGCAGCACGATACTGCAGAAGTGGTGGCCACAGAAGAGATGGGGGATGCTCAAGCGGATGCACACCTTGCCAGGGCTGAGAGCTAAAACAGCAAAGCAGTAGTGCGCTGCAGGGGAGAAGGAAGAGCCGCCTCGGCTTGCAGACACAAAGTAACAGCACAGGTTGCCCCATGCAGATGCCATAGAGCCCGCAGCTTGGGGGCTCAAACTCCTCTCTCCCACGTTATTCCCAATGCTGCAGGCAGCACAACAGCAGGGAGGAAACCTGACGGCCACCAGCCCCACACTCACAAGCATCTGTTGGGCTCTCCCCCGCATTAGCAGATTAGTCACTCTTGGGGGTCCATGCCCGGTCAATAAAAAGCACTGTTTCACCCTAAGCTGCTTTGCCAGCATGCGCTGCATGAGGCACGCAGCACACCAGTGACCTTTCGTGGCGACCAGGCTGCCCCTGCACATAAAGACAGGCTTCGCCTAAAAACCAGATGTCTTTGGCCAAAGACATCCCTCTGCAAAGGATCTCCCACATCGCCAGCGGCGAAAGCGGCTTGCAAACAGTGCCGAGGTCACACCCTCTCCCTAGGTCTCCACCACCACGATTAGTATTTCTCTCGAGTCAGTTCCATCTATTCCAGGGCTACGATGACCGAGTTACACTGCTACTGGAGCACGCTCAGCGCAGTCTTTTCTTCCCTCAAAAGCTGAGCTGTCTTAACCGTGTATATTCTTACGTGGCCCCAGAAGGGCATTTCCTAGACTCCCCAAGCAGAGTCACTAACTCAGGTTTAAAATAACAGTGCAGGACATGGCTGACCTGGTCCTCGCAGTGCTGTAGCCAGAGTTAGGCGACTGCCTTGCTAACACAACCCCTCTCTGCAGGTTTGGCGTGCACTAACTCCGCAGAGCCACGTAATCCTTGCATAGATGCGTTTACTTTGGTATCTTTTCCCCCGTGGAAGTAAGCAAGTCAGTACATACAGCCAGGAAAAGGCACCATTACGTCAGTCTAAGGACATCCCTGCTAGGAATCGTACTCGTGTTACTCGTCATTTTGTTTCTATCAAAATTAAATTATATTGCTGCAAAATGTGTCTAGAACAGATATGGAGACAGATCTGACGTGGCAATGAGTACAGGGAGCCTCAAAGCATTGCTTTAATTAAAGCAACCTTATTTGTTGCTCTTCCTGAAACAGGTTGTGCCAGGCATGCTTTTAGGTGTAGCCAGGCCACCCTGGGCCAGGGAACGTAAGAGGCAATCCTCCGGGGGGGTTTTTTCAGCCTTATTTCAGATAATCAGAGGTCCCTTCCAACCTCAACCGTTCTGTGATCCTGGGAACTGTGACAGCTGCAAAACACAGGCAGTGACCAGCAGTACATAGGGATGCACATTTTAAGTGCTGCACTGCTCAGTTAGGGAATACTGAGCAAAAACGGGTGCACAGGGGCACATGGGAGCGTGCACAGCCACAGGCAGTCTGTCCCCTAGAAGGCAGCTACAACCGGACTGGGCGCACACGGTTTTCTAGATCCCGCAATCAAGCCATGTGCAAAAAAAAAAAAAAAAAAGCATCTCTCCCTGCAGCTGAGAGACACGAGCTCCTGGGGTGGCTAGCAGGCAGAGCTGGAGAAGCGAGGTCCAGTAAAGAAGAGCAGGAGGAAGGAGGAGTTCGACCTACTGCTGCCTTGCTCCTTCCCAGCCGAGATCCTGACCCAGCTTCACCCCATTCGAGAGGAGCCAAGGTCAGCAGAGCTTCCCTTCGAAACTGCCTGCGCTCAGGGGTGCACACAACAAGATGATTTTTTTTCTTGCAACAAACCAGTCTATCAAAATGAACATCAAAGAGAAGGCTCCTGTTTTCAGTAAGAATTTTTTTTTAAGTAGCTATCCTAGTCTTTATTAAAATAACATACAACTGGCGTCTTGTGACACTCGGGGTTCTGGCACATCAGTGAAGTGCTGAAAACAAACCTGAAGAAAAAGCGCAATGCAAACGATGGTCTCACTGCCCAGGGAGGGAACAAAAAACAACTGACTGTGTTTTACAGAATCAGATTTGAGAGCTTGTCATATTTATTTTAATTAAAAAAAAGTAACTGTCTGAAGGCATTCCTGCATTCCCAACATAAGGTTTTTCTTACTTTGCCCGTCTCCAAATCCCACGCCTGAACTGCGTCCAGCCCTCGCCTCGTGATAGAGGGAAGCTCCGCGCAACGCCCGTGAAACACGAAAGCGTGGGGGCTACACGGCTCTCCGAGCTCAGCACCTTTCATTCAAAGCAGCAGTGCAGACGTCGCAGTGGTGCATGAAAGGTGGTCCCTGGGACAGATAACACGTCCAGGGGAAGGACCAAACCTGACCTTTTTGACAGCAAAGCTGAGCTGCTTAGCTTTGCACTTTACATCACACTGCGGGACAGCCCAGCTGCTCTGATGTGCAATGCGATTGCTAATAGAAGCAACACCGGCCTCCCTACGTGCATTTCTATTAGTGGCCTCCCTATGTGCATTTCCATTAGCGTAAGCACCAGGGCTGTCAGGCTGAATGGGACTGAAATCAAAGCTCCTTTATTCTCCTCTGGGTCACCAGACTCCTTTCCCCACACACTCGCTGTTTAACACGTCGGGCCAAGCGCTACTGCTCGCTAACTGCGAGGGCTGATACCGATTTCCACTGGAGCAGGACTTGAGTTCTCCAGCACGGGGACAATGCCGCTTCTGTACTGAAGAGTCATGAACCTTTGACGGGTTGTCCTAAATACCACTATCATTTATTCCATTACAAGAGCTCTGATTTTCCGACATAAAACCCCTCCAAACAGTTTGCTGCTGAACAGCCCATCTAGCACTTCACAGCCCCCCATCCGAGAGCCAGGGGGAGGAAGCGGCCAGTTGGCAAACCTATCCTGCCCCTGGCTCCTGAAGGCCGCGTGGTGCCCACGGCCAACGCTGAACAACACAGCTAGAAATGGGATGCCCGGCATTTAGACTGTGAAGTCAAAAGCAGTTGGCCACATCATTCCCTCACACGCCTTCATCGTGGCAACCAGCTCGACTTCTTGCTCTGTATTGTCCTGCCCTTGGCCAAAACTTTTGGCCCCGAGCTAGACACCCAAAAAGGAACACCATACCTGACAAGGACCCAAGTACTGCCATCGTCACCGCGCAAAACTAAGCATAGCGCTAACGGGCGCAACCCACCAGCAAGCTCATGGGCGCCCATGAAGGGCCTTGCCTAATTCAGAAGGAACTTGCTAGCTGCTGGGAAATATCTTCCTACACAATCCAAAACAAAACTAAAGGATTCGGCATCACTAAGTCGTCTCTTTTTGAGGCTGGCCCCCATCAAAACCCCTCCCAAGTGGAAAAGCAGCACGCCTATTTTGGAGAGCTGCTTGAGGGAAATTAGGGCTGAGAGGAGAGCGAAGGGAAGAGGGAAAACCTGGACGAGCCCAATTCCTAAATCCCCAAACTAGCGCCTGCACCGCAAGACCTGAGCGTCATCAGCTGTTCATTACACAATGGAGATGTGCTTTAAAACCTGAAGGAAATCCCAAAACTCTTCTGGAATTTGGTATTCTATCCACAGGGCGACTGATCAATTAGTACTACTTCTAATTAGAGAAATCAAGGCTGCGGGGGGGGGGGGGGGGGGGGCCCCTCATTTTTTGCTCCAAAAAATAGACTTTCTTACAGAATAGCAAAATAATTAGAAACATTCTCAAGCGAACAGAAGGACTGTAAAATTCGAAGCCCCTCTCCAGCCCCATTCCCACTGTAGTGAAACTGAAGTTTTATTAAAAAAAAAATTACTGATGTGATGATGTTGGGCAGACTTGAAATCACTTTGGATTCATGGCGCGCAGGCTAGGCGGCTGCTCCGCTCGCACGATGCTCGCTGCGGGCCCTCGTAGCTATTCAGATATTCTCAGCAGACCTCGCTCTTTAACAGGGCTCAGGTTTCTCCTGCGGACTCTCAATAAAAGCTAGAACCGATAAAACCAAGCACCCCCCCCGCCCCGTCCCCTTCCTGTTTCTGCCGAAGAGGAGGTCTGAAGAGGAAACGGCTACGTGGTGGTTCCCCCCACCAGCGCCGTGGGGGTTGAACACACACACGCTTTGACGCTGCCAAGTCTAGAGAAGTAGGAAGCAAAAACGCGTCTGGGAACCAACGGGTTCACACCAGACTACTTATTGCGCTCCTGGCACCCGCAGCCAGCAAGCAGCCAGCCCTCCCCAAACCGCTGCTGCCAACCACAGCATGGGAGCCCAGGTGTCCCCCAGCCACCTTTTTAGCTCTGCCTCCAGCTCGGGGGAAAAGGGAGAGCAGCAGCAAGCGTAGCTGCCCTTAAGGTGTCAACGCACCCGGCTTTTGAACCCAAACGCATTTTGAGAAGAGGTACCTCTCAGAGGAATCTATATAGCTGCACAATGACAAAATACTTCATGTGCAGATGGCACCACAGTCACCAGGGAGGCATCGCACACTAACCACAACCAGAGAAAGAAACGATTTGAGCCACTCAGCAAGAAGGCAGTGGAAAAAGAGCCAGGCGGCTCTTCTGTCCATCGACGCAGTGCCTGAATTCAGGAGACGGGATATGAGACGTTCCCAGGTTCACGCAGAAGCGTGGTGGGTTGCAGCTCTCTTCTGCCCTCACAGAGTGCTGTAACCGGTGCAAGCCGGGCGTAATCTTTCTGTCCTTGCTGCAGCAAAGGTCTAGAAGCTGTCATTAGATCTGGGGTTTTTTTTCCTCCATTTTGTTTCTAAAGGAGTTGTGCTAGGAGTTGATTAAAAACATTCATTTTCTTATTAAAAATAACTCTGTTTTGCACCAGTGTTCTGTGCAGAGGTTCTTCTGAACACTGAACCCGACTTGCAAGGTTAGTGCCTCCATGCTTTACTTTCACAGATGGAGGAACATAATCTAACAGCCTCAGCAAGCAGCTCACAGGACTCTCACAGCCACAGCTAGTAACAAAAAGCAACGCCTAGGTAAGGTCCAGGCAAATAAATCTCTCCCCAGGGAGTTCTCCCTTGAGATAATGAATGAGGGATAGTAGCTGGGCAGTATTACTCACACCTTCCATGCGATTCCCAGCTGGTGGAAAGCCAGGAAAGCAACCTGCTGCCTGCAGTCCCTGCCGCTTTCACATCCACATCCTGTATGCTTTCACCTACGAGGACCCAGCTGGGCACAGGAACATTTCCTGTTCTGCTTTCGCTTGCACAGATAAGCTCAGGGGCAAACACGCGGACACCATTTAGGAAACTGCTTTTAAAAATATTCTCGTCAGAATAGAACTTTTTCCTCTATCGGTGACTCAGCAATTTCAAGGAAATATTTAAAGTTTCTTTAATATTAAAGACTAAGGGGTAGAATTCGGCAGCATTTTCCAGTTATCTCTGTTTTCTCCATCAGCTGTTTGAAAGCCCAACTCATTCGAAGGATGTATCATTCACGTCCCCCTCCTCACACATGCTCTTTCTTTTCCTCCTTACCTTGTCACTGTTTCTGTATTTGCCCCATTTCTTCAGCATCTTTAGCCACTTGTCCACTCGCTCAATTTCTTGATGTTTTTGCTGGTGCAGGGGTAAGAAAAGACGGAAAAAAAATGAAGAAAAAAGTCCCAGGAGATACTACATAGAAGTTTAAATCTAATGAGAGCAAAGGAGTTTTGACACCTACAGCTACATACAGAGTCCCTGCAGCAGTGGCAGCAATAACTAAGAGGTGTTTGCAGGAACTGGCAATTTCAACACACAGTAATTAAAGGGTTGTAA